CACCTTGGATTGGCGCTGAGCACAGTGCTTAGCACAGATGAGTGCTCAGTAAGTATTTGTTAAATAGGAAAGGCAGTGTCTGCTTTCTTTGTTACTTATGCTTCAGGATTAGTCTACTTCTCTGGATCGATTACCAGGAAGATGACTGGACTTAAAGAAATAAGATTATGAACTTTTACAAAAAAGTCTTAAAAATTGGTTCAGCTTTAGTAAACTTTACTTTTAATATTTGTTACCATTCATCTTTTAATGTTAGTTTGAGTTTAAAAAAATAAGGTCCACAGGATGTGTGCCTTTTTGCCAGGTTTTAAAAGATAGGCACTTTTAAATATCAGCACTAATTAAGATAACTAATTGAATAATTTAACATATAATCTGATTTCTTTGTTTCTGGTAAACTCTAAGGCCTCTGGCTCTTTCTAGCTACATAGCTGCTTCTCCCTTCTGTTCTCTTTGCCTGCACTTGAGACTTTAAGCTTTAACAACATTGCGCTTTTAAAGAGATTTGTGTGGGTGATGAATAAATTATTTTATATTCTCTTGCTTAATTAGTTTGATCTGTGAGGGCATTTGCACTCAGAAAACCCAAATCTTTAAATATAATCCTAAGAAAAAAGAAAAGTATTAAGTCAGTTTCAGATTTTAAATATTTTTCTATCATGTAAACTTAGTTTAGGCTTAGTTGCTAATCCAGCCTGTCTTACCGTTAACTCAAAGTGTTGTCCATTGATCTCTCATTCTATCTTCAGAAATAAAAATGCATATTGCGGGTTTGGTTCCAGACCACCGCAATAAAGCAAGTATGACAGTAAAGTGAGTCATAATCTTTTTGCTGGTGGAGGGTCTTGCTTCTTTCAGTTTGTAAAAAATGCAACATCTGTGAAGTACAATAAAGTGAAGAGCAATAAAACTAGGTATGCCTGTACTATAATACCATTGTTAAAGCTGAAATGTTAAAGACCTATTACAGGATGGCAGAGATGAGGTTCTTTAAAGTAACTTTCATTAATCCAGTTTGGAAGGTGGCTTAAGCCTAATCAAGCTGCTTCATTACCTAATTCAGTAGTACCTGTTGTCATAGTTTCTGTTTAACAAAATCTCAGATCGAAAGTTTATGGACACCTAGGTGATTAGACATTATTATTTCCGACCAAAAAGGGAACTCAGTATTGTTACTATAATTTTCATTTGTTGAGTTTTATTTCAATAGTTCAACTTCGGCACTTTGATAATGCATTGAGGTCTTGGGTTCTCAGAATCCTTTTTCCCTTTTCAGAGTTTTAAAGCTTATTGAAGTAGGAAATAATAGTGCCCAGCATCAGATCTCTGAAGATTTTGTCATTTTGGCCAACAGGGAGAAGAACAAAGTAAGTCAGGAATACTTTAAAATCCTTTGTATATCACTATCTTTCTATATAAGAATATAATATTTGCCTTGTAATGTGGTTGAAAAGAACAGCACAATCATATAAAAGTCTGTTCATTTAGTCTCTGTGGGTTTTAGTCCCATGTATGTACAAGATTTGAAGAGAGCTGATTATATTAAGTTTATCTTTTGCTTATTTCTATTCCCTTTTTGGGTTTCTATTTAAATTTTTATTGAATTATTGACCTTTGGGTTTAATTAATTCTGCAAACTTAAAGTTGGGGTGGATATAAATCTTTAAAAATCACATACCGTGCTTTAACTCCAGACAGTTCTTTTCCTTTAGCATACAAAATTAGGGACATGAGGAAGTTCATGCAGAGGGAAATCTCCAAAAGCAGATCCACTCAATTTGTTGTACTATACTAAAGCAAATGAAGTAGCAAATTTGTCACCTTTATATTTATTTTTGCCTATTTTGGTATTTTATCCATTAAAAACTTTACTGTAACAAAGTATTTTTACTAATCAAAGGATCAGAAATCTGATTTTGAATTTTCTCAGTTGAGGAAAGAATTGTGAATGTTGGAGAAGGGTTGGTTAATTTTACCAAATTTGTTAATATGATTTTGCTATTGACTACATATAGTAGAATTTTTTTTTTTTTCTCTTCATATGACAGAATGAAAACTTACCCACTGTTACAGCTTCTGGACGGGTGGTAAAAAGAAATTTTAACCTTCTGGATGACGACCCAGAACAAGAGGTATTATTTTAGCCAGAGATAACAAGCCAAACTAGTGTGTATTTGCCCTTTGGTTTTTAAGTTATGCTTACCGGACCCAGGGGTAGAGATTAGGAGTAAGCTCCATGCAGGCTTAGTTAGTCAGATTGTGTGTGCTATTTCAACCAATGCATTCTCATTATCCTCTATTTTCATACTGGAATTACTCTGCAGAAAGGTTCATAGGACTGAAATAATTTGAAAATACCATTAGCCTATTGTTTTGTTGATGTGTATACTTTCTAGGGAAATTTCTTAATAGAAAATTCTTGAGTTATAGCCTGATGATTTTATGGCTTTTCCTTATTTTTTACCTGCTAGACATGGGTATGTTTGTTAATGTTCATGGGCCAGGGAAGGAGGGTGTGAGGATAAATCAGTTCAGCTCTGACCTCAACTGGCAGTGCTAGTCACTGAACTAATCCATTCTTACCCCATTTTTTTTTTTTTTTAAAAAAAGAGGCATTGGAAGTACTTTTGCAATCAACTGACAGTTACCATGTTTCGAGTATATAACCATAGCATAACTACTAAATCTACTTAGACCATAAAACTATATCATTTGTGTGACTGTTTCTAGTCAAAATATTAGATAGAATAGCCTTCTAAGGATAGTTTTGGAAAATTTTAAAAATAGATTGGAGGTGGCCTACTATGTGGCTATGCTCAAAATAGAAAAAAAATATATACTTATTCTTTTGAACCATAGAAATCTATTGAGAATAAAGCAGAAAGCTCCCTGTGCTATGTGTAAAACTATTCAAGAAAGACATACTAAAATTACTAAGAGATAGCAAGAGTAATTAAGGCAGAAGGAGATAGTGGCAAAGAGAGATACTCTGCATCATGAAATTAGAAAACAGAAACTTCTAGCCTATAAAAGAAAAGTTAAAGGGGTTGTTACTAAAGTCTATCAAATGAGTGACACCCATGTAAAAAGTCACCCTTTGAAGTTTGTCCAAGGTAAGATTAAGGCAAAAAAATTAAATAAAAAGGAACCATAGGTAATCTATGTAAGTTTTTATGTCATAGGTGGTAAAGACAGAAAATATAAATGGAGTAAAAAGCAGTTTGATCAAATGTAAGTAAAGGATTAGTATGTGGCGGTTAAGAGAAACTTGTTGTGCCTGCCAAGATGTATCTTTCTGTGGTTCATCCATGGATGGCTGGGCATGGATCTGCTTACCCTATGAGGCTGTTAGAGTCCCAGGTTTTCTTTCTTGAGACAGAGTTCTGGGGTTAGGTTTTTCTCTCTGAACTCTTTACCATCATTAATCATTTCTAACTTACATTTCTTATCTGTGGGCAGGATTTCAGTTCCTGTTATTCTATAAGCAGCAATATTTTGCTTTTGTATGGAACCAAAGAGGCTTATTGTTTTTGTTTTTGTTTTAAAGGATGGCTAATAGTATATGATTGGCTATCAGATCTTCTTGAAATGACTTGTGTTTTTCTGGCATAAGAACCTTCTGAGCACAGTGGGTAGTCTTCAGGTTTCAGAACTGAGTTCTATGTATCTAGTCTTATCTGGGAACCAGTGGACACACATGTCAGAAACAGCAGTTAAATACCTTTTTTGAATTTGGAGAAGCTCTAGTTTGCTGTCGAATAGAGAATTTCAGTTCTATTTTTGCTGAGATCTACATAGACTTGGTTCTGTTTGTCAAAAACTGTAGGATATTGCTTGAGGCTTGAACATCTTGGGACTGGTGTTGTAGTAGGCATATAAATAGAGACACATTTTTCCTATGTTCCCAGTCATTCATTCTTTCTATGTATTTTTATAAGTAATCGAATAGTTAAACTACAATTGTAGAAATGACCCTAACCAAGTAACTGGATTTACCTCTCTTTCTCTCCGCTTTATCCATGTATTCCTTGAGACTTTCAAAATTGTGGACTATGAAGATGAATTGGATTTGCTTTCTGTGGTAGCTGTTACTCAAATAGATGCCGAAGGAAAAGCACACCTGGATTTCCACTGTAATGAATATGGAACTTTACTTAAGAGTATTCCACTAGTGGAGTCGTGGGATGTGGTAAGTACAGTCCGTGGAATACAGAGTTGTAAGAGTCCTCTTTATAGGTGACATTTTTGGAACAGGTGTTACTGTGTTTGTGTCAGTCCGAGCTCACCTAGACCAGTGACCACATGAGATAGGTTATTGAACTACACACAGGACAAAATGAGTACTTCTTAAGTCTTCTTCCCCAACAGACTAGAAGATGTCACCTTACCAGAGCCTTAAAGATAAAGCTTTATGTTTTTTTCCTGAGAGATGCTGTCTATTTCCTTACCATAGTTTTTGGTTTTCTTCTGTTTTATACATTTGGTAATGTTTTAAAAAGTAAAGCTATACTGTATTATAGTATCCTACAGTTATTTAATAGAGACATATCTAAGCATGTAGCATTTCAAGGCACACTTGAAGGATTTTTCTGCTCTTCTGTGTATTATAGAATATAAAAGTTATAAAGAATAGGAGACATTATTTTATCCAGTCCTTGTTTTATCAGTGGAGAACCTGGGAAGTTTAGCAACTTGTCCACAATCACACAGTGAAATAATTGCAGTGTTGTTAGTAGAATCTGGGTGTTCAGACTCCTAAATCCAGGGCTCTTTTCATTCTCACGTTTTTGTGTCATGCTTTTCTCATAAGTAATCTTCATATCCACAAATAGTGAAAAATAAACCATTTCTAGCACCTATTTTGCCTCCAAGTGTGTGTTTGAAGATGCCTAGCATAGGTGCTGACATTTTTATGACATAATTAATAGTGAACAAGATTGTGTGAAGAAGAGATTCCATTTGACTGTGTTTTCGTTGCAGACATATAGCCATGAAGTCTACTTTGACAGAGACTTAGTACTACACATAGAACAGAAACCCAGCAGGGTCTTCAGCTGCTATGTTTACCAGATGGTATGTGACCCCGGGGAAGAAGAATCCACAAACAGAAGTTGTGAAAAAGAGTGATATAATTTTAAATTTTGAAATGTAACTTATCAGACTTTTAGCCAAATACTCCAGCAGCTATGTCCAGTCCTTTTTTTTATTATCTGCATAGCAAGTTCTCCAGTATTTTCCAGAAAGATCTTGTATTGACTTCAGATGACTGTGACTTGTTTGTTAAACTCTTGCCATACAAGGTGGTAAGGACTTCATTTTATGTAAAGGATTTTTAGAATAATGTCCCAAGAAGTCTAGCATTTTAGAGCTTTTAGCGAGGTAGTAATATAAATATAAAATGTTGAGCAAAGAAGGACAGGTTAATTCCAGTTGTTGGGAAGAGGGTCATTGGTAGGAAGGTGTTTAACATTGTTAAAACCATGTTAAAGGGGTGCTATGGAATTTTGATTGGTAAGACTAGAAGGGAGGGACAAAAAGAAAGATACAAAAGATAAAGAAATCCTGTGTCCTTTATACTAAGCTTTGCTTAAGGAGGAGAAACAAGATCTGTAATGTGAAAGCACACTTTTGAACCAAAAATATGTCATCACAGTTTTTTTCAATCTTATATATGTATATGTGTTTTGTATTTGTAAATAGTCTAAGGAATCAGCTTTAGTTCCCAAATTATCTTTTCTTCCATGGTTTTATTCTCTTGGCTTGATATTCCCATTGATTATTTTCTATTATAGACTATTGTAAAAGATTCCAAGCGTACTTTAAGAAATTTTTTCCAGTATGTAGCCTTTTTAGCTTTTAATACACCTAAGAATGTTGTACTTATTTCACTATTCTGTTTATTTGGTGTGTCTTCCAGTTCTGCATAGGCAATATTTTTGTACCTGTACAGTAAGGTAAAGATATACTGAGTCACAGCAGTTCTGCTCCATGTAGAAAAGTAGGTAGTTCCAGGAGTAACTTGGAACTGACTATGTTGCTAGAAAAAGCTTTTGGCTTTATCTTAGTTATAAAACAAGTATTTTTTCTTCTTTGTTAGAACTGATCTAAATATGATCCTTGAAATCAGATAATCATTCTTCACAATGTTAAATAAAAGCAACCTAAATAAAGGGAGCAAATATTTCTTTGTGCTTCCTGTTTGAGAAATCCAATTGCTTATAATCCACATGTTCAGCACATTTCTCTGATTCAGACTCAAAAGAATAATTAGTAAAAATAGAGTAAACAGCAGCAAACATCATTGCTGATTCAAATGTAAGGTTAAAATAAGAGATTTTAGCTTGGATGATTTATATTAAAAAATCCTTCAGTTTTGACTTGATCCCATGTTGAGAAAGATGTATATCCTGCCCTGTTCTGCTCTTGAAGTTTGCAGATAAATTTCAAGCTTATGATCAACAGGTCTGAGAGGGAAAGGTGTTAGCTATTATAAAAGTCAAGAAATTAGTAGCAGAGTCCATAAATTTAAAAGAAACAAGGAGAAGAAACCTAAAACTGTCTTTCGTGCAACAGAAAAAAAGATTGGTAACATTTTTAAAAGGGGATAATATTTATATGTGGGCTAACAATATAATCTTTCTTAATCTGATCCTATGTATTGTAGCCATTTGGGAGAGTAGAAGTGATTACTTCATGACCAAGATGATGAAAATATTTTCATATTTTAAATTCTAATAATTTTACAGCCACTAATTGAAAAACCCATTCTCATTTTATGAATATTTAATAGTACTATTTAATATAATATTGGAAGCTTTCAGAGCATTTTAGAGACATGATGTGATTACAAAGCAGTTGAATAGTTACAGTGTGCTAGATATAGCCCCAAACTTCCAATTAGACACTAGCTAAACAGTCCTGCCCAGTTAATACAAATCTTGAAAGGGAAGGAGTAGCTTAAATATACCAGAGAAGAGAAAGAAACCAGTATTGTGTGGGTTTCAAAGCAGATGCAGTGCAATGTAAAAGCATAAAGCCTATTCTCCATTTCCAAGAGTGTTTCAGAACTGGATATACTAAGACTTGAATCTTGTCAGATTTTTTCGAAAAAAGGTTTATTGACTTTCCTCTTCTCCTTTAAGTTATTGCATCCTTCTGATGAAATGCTAGAAAGGAACTCATCTACTCAGAAAGGCATCTGAGAACCAAGATTCCTTTCTGCTTCTTTGGCGAGGGTTGGTGGGTGTGTGGCTGTGTGGAATACTTCGAGTCTAGATATGAACTGACTACTCAGAAACTCCTGCTGGCTCACCATTGTCAAAATCAGACTAGACCAGGATCGAAATGCCCTATGGACTAGGCAGGATCAAAATGCCCTAGGGACTAGGCAGGAGAGGTACTTAGTGTGACAGTACCTTAGTGTAATAAATGGGAAGGCTATGCCCCAACTGAAAGAACTAGCTGCTACTACTTAGTTTCAGGCAATTGTAATGTTACTTGGGAATGTGGGATGCATGATTGTTAACAGAATGATTGATAAAAAGATGGCAAAAGATACAGAAGATAGCAAGACTGTGAGAAATTTACAGATAACACACATAGCAGGAGACAATGCAGCATGCTTCCCAGAAAACTATGGGCTTCTCAGCTCCCCACAGTGGCATGCAGCTGCTCATTCTGCCACCTGCCGGGCATGAGACTGCCATTCGCTTGGGGATGGAGGAAAGTGGGGGTTAATATCCTCCTGCCCCACTTTAACCCCCCTCTCTACCTGACTGTGTTAGAGACTTTAGCCGTGTGCCCACCTATTGAACAGGTGCTAGTGTCAAACATAAAACATGGAGTAACATTTCTGAGCATTTAATATGACTGGGTGAAGCAGGGTAACTTCTTTCAGAAGGTCCAGATATTAAGCTGATAGAGGTACATTTCTGCATTTTACTCCTTGATTTAAGATTCTATATTCTCAGAATATCAATGCAGCAAGATTATAGTTCTTTGGCTTTCTAAAACATTTCTTGCAATGCTGGGAGAAAGCAAAACAAATCTTATCGTAGTTACTATTTGAACTACCTAGTGAGGAAATATTGTTCTATTTAAAGAAATTAAGGTGCTCCGCATTCTTCTACCACTTGAATATTTTGTTTCTTGTACATACTTTTAAAATATATGTTTACTGAGTGCTTTCTACCAGTCATTGTGATACATGTAAGGTGAATTGTCTCACTTAACATTCAAAATATATGAGGTATGAACTACATTCTTTTTTATTTTACAAATGAGGAAAGTGAGACTTAACAGAAGTTAATAAGTACAGAGACGGGAAACACATCCAAATTTATTTGGCAGAAACTTTGCCAGATTTCCTCCAAAGCTCTCAAAAGACAAAGGATGTTATTTTATCCCATATACAGTATACTGACAATTATAATGTTGGGTATGCAACATTATAATTATCAGTATACTGTATATGGGATAAAATGTTTAATAAGTGTTTTTTGAATGCTGATTGGTTACACATATTTTGAACAAAGTTTGGCTGAGATACAGTTGACCTAGTCACACATATAACTTGCCATAGAGGATGATTCTTTTCCGGTGGTTAAAAGTAAAGGTACAAAAAATGGTACTCTCATCCTATTTGTAGTAATTAATAAACACCAGTATTGGTAATTCCTCTTAATGTAACCTGGCTTCCTATTCAATAATTTTTATGCTTTCTTACATTTCTTACCAGATTTACATATATCATCTACCTTTTAGAATTTCAGAGAAATTTCAGGTGCTAATTTCCAGTTCTTGTGTTACTGTAGAAAATTCGTCTTAGAGAAAAAATAATTTATTTCAGGCAAAGGCTATATAATAGAAAAATAAGACCAACTGAAGGCTTTTCCCAATATTTTATTAAAATTTTCAAACGTATAGCAAAGTTAACAAAATTTTATGGTAAATACCCAAATACCAACCCCCATGCATTCTGCATTTCACTCTACATGTTTTATTACAAAGTAACTATCCATAAAAATAAATTGCACATCGATACTTTCCCCTGATACTTCAACAGGCATATTATTAAATAATTCAGTATTGTTTAGTTTTTAATTTTTTTGATCTACACTTACATGCAATGAAGTACACAAATGTTAAGTATACATTTGCTAAGTTTTTGCAAATGCATTACACCTGTGTAACCCAAACCCTTTGCAAAATTCCGGACATTGTGATCATCCGAGAAAGTTTCCTCATGTATTTTTCTTGTCAATCCTACTTCACCTGTCAGGTGTAACTAGTGTTCTGATTATGTTGCCTCACAGATTAAATTTACCTATTCTAAAACTTTATAGAAATGGTATTATACAAAGCATAATGCTTCTTTCAGCATGTTTTTGAGGTTAATTCAGGTTGCATGTATCAGTGGTTCATTCCTTTTTATTGCTGAGTATTCTTTTGTGTGAATATGTCACATTTGTTCCCCCCCCCCCCATTTTCCTGTTGATGAACACCTGGACTATTTCTGCTGGGGTTTTTTTAACTATTATAAATAAAGATACTGGAAATAATCTTGTATAATTTTTTTGTGTGTAAACCCTATGTCTTTATTCCTCTTGGATAAACATCTAAGGATGAAATTATTGGGTCCTAGAGTAGGTGTATGTTTAGTTTAATAAGAAACTGCCAGACATTTTTTCTAAAGGATTATACCATTTTACATGCTTGTAGCAATGTATGAGACTTCCAGTTGCTTCATATTTTCTCCATTTGTGGTTGTTTATCTTTTTTAGCTTAGTCTTTATGGTGGGTGTATAATTTTTTCTAGTTGATACTTAGATTGTTTCTACTTGTGCCTAGGAGCCCTCTTGTCAGGTCAACCTTCTCTTTTTGTAATACCAACCCCCACCAGGAACTGCTGAAAATATTCTTTCTTCGTGATAGTAGTTAAGATGACCCAAAACTCAGCTTGAGCTATTCTTTCTCAAACATGGAATACATTGCTCACCCAGGAACCCCATTTCTTTTAATGGAGTCCAACATTAGAGAACAAACCTGGGTTTCTGAAGGTACATGTTAGACCTTTCCACATGTCTAATGGTACAGGACAAAATGGCACCAGAGAAGAGATTCCATAAAAGCAGAATGTGACCATTTTCTTTAAGGGTTATGAGTTCTTGGTATTTCTAAATTGAAAATTTTTGCTCTAATATGAAAACATATTAAACAGCTTTAGCCAATAACTATATTGGATCCCAATGTGATTTTAATTTATATTTCCTTATTAATGAATGATGGTAAGCACACATGTAAATTATTTGCCATGTGTAAATTTTACATTTTTATAACAAATTTATTGAGGTATAATGGACATACAATAAAATGCACATATTTAAAGTGTGGAATTTAATAAATTTTGACATGTACACATCCATGAAATCACCACAATCAAGAGAGTAAACACACACACACACACACACACACACACACACACACACAATAAATACATGCATCACCCCAAAAAGTTTTCTCTTGCTTCTTCATAATCCCTCCCTTCTGCCTCTCCTTCCTTTCCAAGGTAACCACTAATCAATCTATCACTTTAGATTAGTTTGAGTTTTCTAGAATTTTATATAAATGAAATCACATAGTAAGTACTTTGGGGGAGGCTTCTTTCACTCAATATAGTTATTTTGAGATCCATATGTGTTGCATGTATCAATAGTTCATTTCCTTTTATTCCTGAGTGGTAGTCTATTGTATGTATGTAATCGCAATTTAATACATTTACCTGTTAATGTGCATTTGAGTTGTTGCCATTTTTTTGGCTTCTACAAATAAAGCTACTATGAACATTTGCAGACAAATTCGTATAGACATATGCTTTATTTCTGTTTGGTAAAAACCAAGAGGGAATGAATGGCTGGGTCATATATTAGGTATATGCTTAACTGTTTTCAAACTTTTTCCAAAATGGCTGTACCATTTTATATTTTCGTCATCAGTATATGAGAGTTCCAGTTGCCCCAAATCCTTGACAGCACTTGTTATGGTCAGTCTTTTTTAATTTCAGACATTTAATTTAGGTTTTACATTTAGATTTATAATCAATTTTTGTTAATCTTTATATGTGGTGCAAGGCATGGGTCAAAGTTTTGGGGTTTTTGTTTTTTGCATGTGGATATACAATGCATAAGGAATAACATTTAGTCTTTCACCAGTAAGTGTGATATTAGCTGTAGGTTCTTCATAGATGCCTTTATCAATTTGAGGAGGTTCTTTACTAGTCCTAGTTTTCCAAATTTTATTGGATGTAGATTTTGGAGTCTGTCAGATCCTTTTTCTCAGTCTATTGAGGTGGTCATATAGTTTTTCTATTTCAGACTGGTAATGTGGTAAATTACATTGATTGGTTTTTGAATGTTAAACCAATCTTGAATTTTGGAGGTAAACCCATCTGAGACCTCTTTAAGACCATACATTAGGTCAGACAATTTATGCAATTCCTCTTTTTTACATCGTTTAAAAAATAATGAATTCATAAAATTTACCGTCACATTTATACTATTTGTACTGTGATACATGTTAATAGTTTCAAGTTCATTTTATGTAGATGACTTTCTGCCTTTACAAATAATTTTCAGACATATTTTGGCCCTTTGCCAGAGGTTTCATCCTCATAAACAGAATTTAGCAAGTTAGGATTTATGACCTTGGAGAAACTCTGGGCATGTTGCCAGCCTCTCACTGTCTTATCTCAATCCACAAAGTTCATATGCTAAATAAAATTATACCTGACATAGAAACGTCAGTATCTGCCATGATCCCAGTACTTTGAACCCATTTTAGTTCAATATGCTGAAACCTTGAACCACCACAGGAGTTATAAAACTTATGATTAACTACATTCATAAAGATAACAATCAGTTAAAAGATTTATATTGAGGCCACTTGACCTTCTCAGATAATAAGCATCCATGAATCTCTCAAATAAAATTTTCAAAAAAATTATTTACTAGTAAGTTCTTTACCAATTCTTTTACCAATAAGTTTTATGGCTCAATTAAGTATTTCTTATTTTCTCTTAGAAGGGCATCTGCTCAAGGAGACAATCATTTCTGAATCTTTCTATTTTAAACACCATTTTTTTTTTCTTTGAAAATCACAAGCTTCAAGGGCACAGCTTTTCAAGCTGTACCTGTAAGAGCAACAAGACTGATTAAAGCATGGTTAAACAATTACAGTTTAAATGCCATTCTAACACTTAATTTTTCTGTCGGTGATTTGTCTTTCTCTCTTTAGAGAGCAAAGTCAGTGAGAGTTAAAAGCATTTCCCAGCCTCAAATCCTCCCACTTCTAAAACCTCAATTACACAATAATATCTGCTTGAAGATGTGCTGCCTGAAATCTAGTGTGAACTTGAAGAGGTCCTTGGGCCCACTACCTCATCTAATAAAACATCCCAGATGTCCCATTCTCAGAGTTTGTCTTGGTCACCCTTACCAGCTGGACTCGTGATCCAATGGTTTCCATTTCAGTTTCTTCTGTAAAGTCTCGGGTGCTTCTTCTACTTTGGCTAAAGTTGAAGTGATCATACAATATATCATCCAAACAGACACTTTTGTGAGTGAAAGAAAACATTGCTAATCCTGCCTGGACAACAGGTATAAACCAAGCCTCTTCTGAGCATAATCACCCTACCTAGGGCTAATAGAAATAACCAGGAAATTATAAATATTTCCATTTACATATTGTAATTTCTTATCAACTAGTATGCCAACTTATCCTAATCAAGGACGCAGTGGGAACATTACATGGAAACAATTTCTCATTTTCATCCACAAACCCCTTATAACCCCTTTGCCAAGGTTGGTTCTATTGCTACCTTTGTATTCCAAGGTATTTTCTCCTGCAGTTTATCTATGTCTCCCTCAAGTTAACCTAGCAATTTTAAGGTCTGGGGTCTTTGTGTCAGTCCTAATTCTAGCATCGATGTGTATCATCAAACAGAAAAAATGATACGAATGATGGAAAGAGACCAAGAAACAGAGAATAGGAAAGTTTCTGTAATAGAAGAGTGTATGGAAATTTTTATTTTTAGGGATGACCCTAAAAATGTAGGGGACCACAAAGCATGCTCGAAGTACAGGCATTACAAATTCTCACAAGAATCTAAAGCTGATGGTGGTACCACTTACACG